TGGGACACAGGCATATTCTGACCAGGCACTATCTCCTGTTATGCATACCACACGGGACCCAACCTGTTGAACAAGCAAGAAAAATGTACTTTAATATAAAAAAACTATGCTTTTTGGAACATTGGAAAATGGGGTCGAAAGAAATGTCATCAATGTCATCCTCATAAATGTTGAAAAATGCCTTTCTCTTCCCAATATGGGCTTTGCAACAGAGTCATGTGTTGTTTGGCCCTTGGGTAGGGCTTTTAACAGCTGAGTGATGGTAGGGAAAGGCTTTTGTCTAAAAATCTTAAATAATTAGAACCTATGGCTAAGGAAACAAAACCGTGACAGAAAACCCTGGTCCTCGAGCTTAGGTATTGGGAAAACTCCTTTTACCCTGAAAATAATCACAATTAGGCCTTAGTGAGTTTGAAACTGAGATCTCACCTCTACGTCAGTCACCTCTTCTCCAAGTTCCTCCACAATTCCAGCGCATTCCAAACCAGGAACAAATGGAGGTTTTTTAGGGCTAGGATACATTCCTTGGCGCTGTATAATGTCCGCAAAATTTAGGCCACTGCATCAGAGATAAAATACACCATCATATTTTCTGTGATAAGGCATTCCTTTTACAGAAAATCAATAAAGATAAGAAAACTGGGCTGAAAAAAGTAGGTTATAAGTTTTCCTGATTTAGAAGGTTGTTGGTTACAGATCAACTGCAAATTTTGTCCCTGCTTTCCAAGAGGCAAAAAAAAATTGTCCATATTTCATTGCAATACATTTAGCTTCACAATAAGGAGTTTTAACACAAAGGCTGATGTGGGTTTAAAAAGCACCTGATTAATCTAGGCCCAACAATTATGAAGATTGAGTGATTTGTAGCTTAATCATTTTAGAAGAGGATTTTCTACGAAATAGAAGTTTTTCTTGGAATCTCTGGAGACTTGGTATTCATCTGAAAGTCCACCAAAGTACTTTATTGGGATTGCAAGTTTGGACTTCACCCAGAAATTCATACCCCTATTGCTCCCAATTCCATAATACATTTTGCAAAGAGTTCACAACAAGTTAGACCAAACTGATTAATTATATAGGTCAAATTTCAAAACTAAACAATTCAATATTGATTATTGACCAACACATTGCCAGTTTGCCAATCCAAGTTCAAAAAGCAAAACTGTAATTTGATCGACACAAAATCATAGTAATACATTTGAAAATAAACTTTGCGTAACAAGCATCACTTGACGTCGTCAAATGATTGAAATCGTAGAGAATTTACTCCTTAAATTTCAAATGTGTCACGAACTGCAAGCAGCATGAATAATATTATTACAGAAACACAAACGGAACTTTTAAATATAGAATAAGAGCTACGGCAAAATGAAATTGGTTTGGAACAATTCTTCCACATGCTTTCACTCCTGTAAACATTACTTTCATTGGTAAAACATGAGAACATTTTTAGCATCATGATTTACCGCCCCTCCCACTACTATCAAGTCTTCATAACTCTTAAATAATTTCTTGCTTCGTTGGTTACTATTGTAGTATGAATTCCCAATGAAATATAACAGAATATGTTTTAATATGATTGTCCACAACAAAAAAGGGGAAATGATGGTAAAAAATGACAAACAATACACTTGCCATGCATGAACGCGAACAACAACTTGTCCTTTCATCGGCTTAGGTTTTGCGTATTTCTGCACTTCGAGCTTGTTGTAACCACCGTATCCAGTGAGCACAACACATCGCATGGTCTCCTGTTCAGGTTGGAGTTCAAGATGCTCTGACTTTTCCTCTCCTTTCTCCTCCACAAGGCCTTCTTGTGGAGGTAATTGCTCAACTTGATCCGTACCCTCCGCCATATTCGCAAGTTGTTCAAAGATCGCCGAGAACGATTACGACTACCCCTGTGGGAGGGGGCGGGGCGGGGGAGAATGTCGGGGTACTTCGTCGAGTCGCACCACTTCGCGAAATTCATGAAAGATTTAGTTCAGTGCTTTCTCATAGACTCATGTGATATCCTGTGACAAATTTGTATAACAGATCGAAGTTTTCTCCGCAGATACACAAGTCCACACACTGAAGAATTTCACGAATGGGCACACGCTCGCAAGAGAAAATCCCGCGTTTTCCCACGCGGTTTCACATCTAATAGAGGGAGATTTTCGCGCGGGTTCACCCACAGTAATTTGAGTTGTTGAAAGACAAGTAAAAAGGACCTCACCTTGGGCGGGCACACGTTGGCCCGCAGTATAATTTTGAAACAGAACCTTATTATCAGGCACGATGGAAATTGTCTTGAACGACCAAGTGGGTAAAATAGCAGGATTAGGCAATTATACGGTTTATGTGACCCCTTAAAATAATTATTTCTGATGGCAAGCCTACCCTGCATGTAAGACTTGAGCGAAGGAACTTCATATCATTTTACACTTCCGATAATGGACATTCACATTATCATTTTCTCTAAAAAAGTTTTGTTATCAATAGTGGTAATAAAACGCTTCCTAAGTGTAGGAAACGTTGGAAATTTCTCACGCGGAGCCCCACCTTACCATAACTTTGAGCCCTTAGATAACACTACTCACTTACGATTAACTGCATTTCGCTTTTGGCCATTTATTTCCTTTTCCCAACCTCATTTAGTTTCCACTCAGCCCCCTTGATAGACCCCTCTGCGGGAATAGCCCTTAATCCGCTTAACTATAGGTAACCAAGCTCGTACGATATGACACTACATTTCGCTATTTAGTATTTCATTAGGCACTAGCCGGCTCCCTGTATACTCCTCTTCTCTTTAAAGCATATTCTTATATCCATTTGCGGTCTACTCAATGTCTGCTCTATCACAACACACCCTCCAAAACACCCCCTACCCCTGTTCCCCACCAATTTAAGTTCCAGGATTCTAAGCATCAACAGACAGGCACTAGGGATTAAGAGAATCACGAACTAGGAGACATTTTGTGGATATAACAACAAATCCTTACAACTGTCCGGAAAAGAATGTGCTGTTAGTCGATCAGCCGAGAGAGTAATCTTTCAGATCTGGGGAGTTAAAAGTTTAAACCTTTTTTTCCAAGTCAATAGATTTTAATTGAGATTTATCAAGGATCTTTATGTCGTGAGAAAAGGTAACAAAGGAAACAAATGAAAAACATGCCCATTATAATTTCATAACTTCATAGGAAAAGAAGATATCAAAATAATAACTCTTTATTTCACAAGTTTCTCAGAAATGCTAGCTCAGCTAGTGTCAAACTGAATATGGAATGTTTAATGCAAACATATTACAAATTTGGATAACTTGTCTCGTGTGCATTTTAACAGATTGAAAACCTTGACCTTGTGCCAGCAAGAGGTGACACCTTGTGACATCTGCCAAGAAACTGTTTGCATGTACCAAAAAACTTATGCTTACACCAAGAGCTTAGTCTGTCCCATTTTCTAAATGTCTATTAAATTGACAAACTTCTACCAATCCAAGAAAAGGAGAGGGTTAATTTTTAAATGATCATACTTTATCTGATAGAAATCATTATTTTTAGAAGGGAGAGCCCAGAAGAGGAGGTTGTGTATGACATCTTAGTGATGCCAGCATTTTTAAATTACCTAAGGAAATCCTTGTTGGTCATACAATATGATTTGTTCCTCCATGAGAAATCTCTTACATCAGACTCTATCAAAGTTGATGAGTATAAGTGTATTAGGCACCCAAAGAACAAAAATAAGTGAGGCCTAAGAGCATGGAAGCAGCACATATGTTTCTAGCTCTGTTTTCAAGGAATTAGCCTCAACAAATTCAATATTTCTCTACCTTTCCTTCAAAAAACCTGAGCACATTCACATCACATCACACACCTAATTGGCTATCTGAAAGGCAATTATAAAAAAAAACTATCTTACAATCAAAACACCCCTACCTAAAATTTGTTACAAATAAATTAATGAGACCTATGTTCATAACCTTTGAAATGCTACACATTCACATCCATGGCTGTAACAGGATAAAAAGGCACTAAATACAGCTAATAAAAATAAGGCAATAATTTGTATAACTGCTATACATATTGCTTCAGTCTATAAGTTTGATATGTTCATCTTATTTGATAATTCTAAGTTGTACTGATATCCAGTTTTTTATTAAATATGATAATATTCAAGGCCTGAGGATTGATATGGAATTTATCGGGAAAATATGACACCTATATCAATCCATGTTGCTATGACAAATAATTCAATTTTTTTCTCAAGGATCGATCTGACATAATTACCAATACTGATATGACTCACTCAGTTCTCCTTGAAATTAAATTATTTATGCATTAAAATATTGAAATTATGAAGAAGAGAACAAAAAAGATTGGTGGGATTTTTCCGAAAAGGATTAGAAAAAAAGGAAGCGAGATTATACCAGTGAAAAAAAATGAAATTATTCTTAAGAGGAAACAATCTGCCCTTGAAATGATAATATCAGTGTATTATCAGACATGAAGGTGTTGAAAAGAAAGAAACTTATCACCCAAAGGAAGTTTTCCTGATGCAACACCACCTTCTCTTGATTAATTTACAAGTGAATGTAAGGCAGTTAGAATGGAGAATAACTAATCAGATCATGGGAGTTGAGGGTATAACACGCTCATGAGAGAAACAATCAAAACAAAACTCAATAATGCAAATAATTTTCAAACTTAAACAATGAAAAAACAAGATTTTGCTGGCAGAATTTACATTGTGTTTTACCTGAGGGACAGAAGATTAAAAACACACACACATAAACCAAAACAATCATACAGATTAACCCTTCAACTCCCATGAGTGACAAAGAGAGAACTTCTCCTTACAATATCAGTACAATATCAAGTAGAAAAGTGATGAGAATTAAGTGGAAAATAACTTAGGGAACTTTACGTTGATCCAATACTAATTTCTGCCATGTAATAACAAAAGCTTGTGAGACAGAAATACTAATTAGATCTTTGGAGTGAAAGAGCTAAGAAGTAAAATTAATCTGCATCCTCAGGATCATTTGCCAGTGTGCGAGACAACCAACTTGGCCAATGTTCTATGGAGAAGCCGAGATTCCGTACTTGTTCAAAAAGTGTCTGCAAAAATAATATACTAGTTAGATATTTCATTTTACACCACTCTTTGGGTCACAATGTTTAATTATTTAGCACCCTACACTTAGCATTGCAGTGCTCACATACTGCATAAGATTTAGACACAGTAACTGAAGATTTACTTCATGTAAGTTTTGCTGTATCATAATTAAATGTGATTACAGAAGCTGACCAGTGTTCTGTGCCAGGTGGTGTAATGAGAAGAATTATTAATTATGATGATGGTGATGATAACGACCACAATAATGATCATAACGACAGTGACAAATTCTTGTACAGGCTAAACAGAGCCACAGGATAATAACCAATTAAAGGCAAGCTGTATCCAACAACTGTGGGTTTGAATGTTTACTGTAGAATTCTTCCAGCAATAGTTCTACATTACATGTTGCAATCCTTATTCTTACTATTCTTACTAGTAATCATAATCATTATTCTATCTATGGCACTTTTTGATGAGTGTCATAAAACTGGAAACCAAAGTAATCACAAAGACTAGAAGAAAGGAAAATACCTTTGAAAGCCAATGAGAACTCAAAGTAAGAAAAAAAAAAAAAAAAACCCCAAATGCCTAAATCGCAGGAAAACACAAGTGACCAAGCCATGACTGAACAAATCACCGAGTAAAGTGACTCTCGATTGAAAATTGTTCTCTATATAATTTACAATTATACTGGCCTATCCGAAGTAATGTCAATAATTGTTTTAGTATCAGGTAACTCAGGTGCTTTGGAATTCTGTTGTAAATTCTGTAAATAAAGAGAGCATTGCACCTATGTTGTTTCAATTGTGTTGATTACTCGTATTAAGATCAGCCAGCAGTTTTAACAAATTTAATATAATCAGAAAAAATTCTGACTGCCAATCTCTGATCATCTTTTGTCCTCTTTGCAAATTAAGTTTTTTCAATCACATCTATCACTTCCTCAAACATCTATCACTTCCTCAAAAACATCAAAAAAACATGAGGCAACAATTTTGAAATTTAGCACTCCTGTGATTATGGTGAGATATGACACAATCCTTAAGCAATCAAAGTGCACCCATTCTATAATCACTGGGTCAATTATCCTAAAGTACAATTATTCCAGTCTATATAGAGTAATGTCATTGAGAAGTGCTTAACAACATCAGTTTTAGGTATTGAATATTGAAGAATCTACTAAGCTCACCGGTGGTTTGAGGTGATTTATATGGTCCACTCTCAATCCACATACACCCATGTTGAGTTTAACACCAATAACAAGAGAGAAGAAATATTTCTAAAAACAACAGCACATTGAGTTAATCACATTGAGCATGTGCAGTTGTACACAAAACAGTAATCATGGCATCTTATTCACATAATTTTGATGTTCCCACTGGTTTTATCGTTGGTAACAACCTCTGCTTAAAAATTTTAATCATTACAAACTATAAAACTGAGACAAATATTTCTGACAGTATTGCTTTCCTCTTAGAATCAAATAGATGTCTATATGGCACCTAGTACAAAGTCCAAGTTCTAGATGTCAAGAATGCCTAGAAGATTTTTTTTGGGTGATATTAATAACAAAATTCAAGATTCAGTTTGAGTACGGCAATTTTACATTGCTCATTTGTGTGGAGTTACTGGGATGTATGACACAGTCATGCTCTGATAAAAATGTTGAATGGGATACTTTAAAAGCATTTTTCCAGGACACAAGAATGTCCCTTGAACTGAGGGTCCACCACAAAGACTACCACACTTACCTCCTCTGTTGAAACAGTATATCGCTGAAGGTCATTGAATTTACTGAGAAGGTCTGAAATATAATCATCTTGTGCCTGGAGGATAAGAAAATCACACATCAGAATAGCCTTTGAGGCAAATCAAAAATAATTCAAATCTGAATATTGTATTATTATCCTCTGATACCAAATCTGCTCTCGCTGGCTTGCATACCTTGCATATTGCAAAATCATCAACTAGAATATTTTATTACCTTCCTGATATCCTGATATTTTCTATGAAGACCAGAAATCTCTGCCCTCAGTGACTCTGCCTCTTGAGTTTTAGCCTGATGGAGTAAGAGTAATTTCAGTCAAATAAAGACGATTATCTAACTTTTTCACCACTAGGGCCAAAATGTTACCCTCACTGTACATGTACCTCTTCCCACAGTGTGAATTAGTACTGCAAAACCATCAGACAAGCATAATATCCTGGGCAAGTGACAATACTCCAGGTTGTTTCACATCACAGAAAACGTGATAAGCTCCCCCTTGATGGATCAATCAGCTTGAGTGCAGACTTAAGGCCTTACAAGACTTCTGGTCTCTTTTTGTTGGAGCACATCCTGGTTTCATTTACATGATATCAACAGAAGTATAATCATTCCTTCTGCAAGGAATATTGGCCCACCACAAGCTATACTCCTTATCAATTCCTCAAGTTTTGTTGAGAGTTTTGTTTTAATTCCTGTGAAAATGAGGAGATTGATCCAAGTGATGGTTATTTAAGTCAGTTACAATTTTGGATATTATTAGTAAGTGTACCTTTTCCAAAAATTCTGCTCTGGATAACTCAACCTTGAGGTCTTCAACTTCTTGCTGATACATCTGTTGAGGGAGAGGAAAACAGTATCAATTCATTCATATAATATATTCTTTCAGGACTGCCAACAAAACCTGATTTATCATTACAGACATGCACAAAAATATTAAGTTCATACTTATTACATTAATAAGATGTTGCTATAATTGTTTTATAATTGATATTGTACAGCTTCCTGCCCTAATTCCAGTTCATAAACTTTCCACTTTGGGAGCATAATTTTCACTCTAAGGGGAATAAACATTTTAGTGATTCACAGCATATTTATGGGGTTCATAAGAGTCAGAGAAGAACAACAACATCAAAATGCCTTCATTACAAGGTCTCTCTAACTTCATTTTGAAACCAAAGGTTGTGGAAACCATTGAAATGATTGCAAAAAAAGGTCAATAGAATTTTAAGACTTAAAAACAGTGAAAACCTTGATTATCCAATAAATCACTCCTTTAATGAATTGATCAACAAAGGGTGTAGAAAGAGTTGACTATACCTCTAATGAATTTCTGTGAATTTTGTCAAGTTGAGTTCTAGTTTCAGCGAGAGCCTGAAAATGATAGTCAGTGTAATTAAAAACAAGGCAGATAAATTTTTCATGGGAATGTTAAAATCCATCCCATCTAGAAAGTAGGTCAATTTCAATCCATGAAATATAAATAAACAGCAATGTCTTAGTTGCTGATACTTAAAGATTACTCCACAAAGCACAATATAAAGATCATTTCTAAAACACATCAATATTCCAATTTTATACATATGTGTGTTTAAAGGACAGAGGCTAGGATACTATGGTTTGGAGCATACTATTCATTAACCCATATTTCCCACAAGTGATTAACAATTAACTTCTCTTCATGATTCCAGCCCATTATCCCACAAACAGGTGATGAGAACAGACTACAATAACATACATACTTTCTTAAGCTGAATTGCCTTGTTTTCTGTGCGTTCACCAGTTTTCATTTCTGCACAAAACAAAAAAGGAAGAAAAATGTACTCATAATTTTATCAAATTTTTATATTCCAGTTTATTAGCTCATTAGAGGAAACTGCATACATTTCTCACAAGAGTATATCAATCAAGAGACATTATGATATAGCAACGTGAACACAGCATCATCATACCTTGTGTCACCCCAGCAATTTTTATTTCAATTATTGATTCCTGTTCCAAGGAATGAACAAGAGAATCGACTCTTTGATTGACAGCCTCCTGTGATTGTTTTAACAAGTCCATCTGCCTATTAATTCCTTCATCTCTCTTTTGTTTTTCGATCACCCTTGCAGCCTGTACAGAAGCCCGTTCAGCTTTCATCTCTTCCTTCAAGGTTTCCACCTCTTCCTTAGCTCTTCTTTCGTTCTCTAAAGCAATGTTCAGTTGATCTTGTAGACTCTGGAAAGTAATATTGGACAGCCTGCCATTAACTAAAAACAAATTTTATTGCATAATTAAGTACATGTCTATCTAAAGTTCATGATGCTGATCAATAAAATCAAACTGCTTCTTGTGACATGGTTGCCACAGCCATAGGTGTTTGAAATTCCCTGACTTTTCCCTGACAAA